TTAGATGGGAAATATTTGGTTCCTGACCATCAACCAATTGTAATGGGGAGAACTTGTGATAACTTGTTGGACTAATGCGAATTAGTGCTGTTGCATGTAATATAGCATGTCCCCAAGCAGAAATTGGGAGATTGGATTTCATAAGCAATGGTCTAACAATTAACTGAATACGTTTTATTAATGACTCTGCTAGACAGTTTTGTGTATGAACATGTGCTACAGGATGTTCAACATTTATCCCAATGGACATGCAATAATCATTAAAAGCTTGAGATGTAAATTCACCAGCATTGTCAAGCCGAATAGTCTTAATGGGAGTATCTGAAAAATGTGCCCGTAACTTAATCAATTGGGCAAGTAGTCTCGCAAATGCCAGGTTACGAGTTGATAACAAAGACACATGTGACCATCTAGTTGATGCATCAATTAAAACCATAAAATATCTAAATGGTCCACATGGGGGATGTATGGGCCCACAAATATCTCCTTGTATACGTTCCAGAAAACTAATTGATTCAAAATTAATTTTAGCTGGTGATGAGCGAATAATCAACTTGCCTTCCGAGCAAGCAGCACATGAAAAATTATTATGAAGAATCTGTTGGCTCTTCAAAGAATGTCCACATGAATTTGTAATTATTTTTCGCATCATTATTGAACCGGGATGGCCTAACCGGTCATGCCAAACAACAAAATCATTAGTAAACTTCTGGTTTACTATAGCATGAGCTTCAATAACATTGATTTTTGTGTAGTACAAACCACTAGAGAATGTAGGTAGTTTCTCCAAAACATGTTTTGAGCCTTGAGTTATATTTGTGATTTGAAGGAATTCGTTATTTTCTTCATTGATTGTCTTAATATGATAACCATTATTGCGAATATCCTTAAAACTTAATAAATTTCTTTGAGACAATGGGGAGTATAAAGCATCAATTATTTTAATTTCAATTCCCCAAGGCAACTTTATAGTGGCTCTTCCGGAGCCCTCAATGATATTCGTACTACCCGATATGGTACTTACATTAATCCTTTTCATCCTCAAATGAGAGAAATATTTTTTATTTTTAAGTATTGTATGTGTAGTTGCACTGTCAGCAAGACATAATTCTTCACCATTCATAGCAAATTGAACTTGAGTAATATCCATGTTCTTCATGAAATAAAATACATGTCAAAATATTAAGCATAAAATAAAGATGATAAAACAAATAAATCAATAAAAACACTCAAATAGTTCATAAATTTATAAAGCAAAAATCCTTATTACAACGAAAGAAATAAACTTAAATAAATTACTAGAATAAGCAAACATAAGTCTAATACTTAAAACTGACATAATACAATATAATTTTAATTATTCCCTTCTGGGGAAATGAAGAAATCGGCAACTTCTAAATGAGTTGTACTGTCAAAATCAAAATTATTCCCTTCCGGGGAAGTAAGGAAATCACCAACATCAAATTGATTGGCATTGCCAAAATCAAAATCACCTTCACCATCTTCAAGAACAAGGTTTGCCTCAACTTTCTTTCCTTTCTTCAATGATTCTTGGTAAAGTTCAATAAGATGCTTTGGAGTTCTACAAACCCGAGACCAATGACCTTTTCCTCCACAACGGTAACATATATTGTTATCACTTTTCTCTTTTTCATCCCTACGTTCCCACTTCTGGTGGGAATGTGAGTTTGTGAAATGACCTCCACGACCTCTATCATATCCACGTCCACGACCCCGGCCGCGCCATTGGCCACGACCACGACCTCTACCTCGACCACTACTGCTGGAATGGTCCCTGTTTTTAGTTTCTTTCCCGTTATGGGTTGTCACATTCGCTTCAGGGAATGGAGTAGAGCCAGTAGGACGTGATTCATGATTTTTCATTAACATCTCGTTATTTTGCTCAACAACAAGAAGACAGGATATTAATTCAGAATATTTTTTAAAACCTTTTTCTCTATATTGTGTCTACAGGACAATATTATTAGCATGGAAAGTGGAGTATGTCTTTTCAAGCATTTCTGCATCAGTAATATTTTCTCCACATAATTTCAATTGAGAAATTATTTTAAACATAGTTGAGTTATATTCACTAACAGATTTAAAATCTTGCAATCTCAAATTTAACCATTCATAACGAGCTCTAGGGAGTATCACTGTTTTTTGGTGGTCATACCTTTCCTTTAGATTACTCCAAAGGATTTGTGGGTCTTTCACAGTTAAATATTCATTTTTGAGCCCTTCATGGAGGTGATGGCGAAGAAAAATCATGGCTTTAGCCTTATCTTGAGGTGTTGCCTTATTAGCCTCTTTTATTGTTTCACCAAGCCCTTTAGCATCTAGGTGTATTTCAGCATCTAACACCCATGATAAATAATTCTTTCCGGTAATATCAAGGGCCACAAATTCGAGCTTGGCAAGGTTCGACATTTTTCACTATACAAAATAATATTAAAAGATAAGTATATATAAATAGTATTCAAAAATATGTATTAAACGTTATAATCATGCATAAATAAACCTGATACAAATCATGCATAAATAAGAACGAAATAGAAGGGAGAATGTTAGCATGGAGAAAAATAAAAATGGGACCTTAAATTATATATCATGCTCTATATTCGTTATATATGTTGATATTCCAATAAATAAGCATGCAAAAGTAGATAAATGTTAAATTATAATTGTTATGGGTTGCGATCATACTTACATGATAATAATAATATGGATTCTAGATAGATGTTTGGTAATCCTACTCAGTTGACTAGCAATGGTGCTGTTAAATATGGAATTGAAAATAAAGAGAGATGAGGGAAGATTGTTACGTTGTATTTCATATTCCATCTAGTACGGGATATATATAATGTACATTTCCTAGGGTTCCATCAATGGATAAGACCAAATACCCAACTCTAGAATATTCTAGATTGTACATGGGATAATAGTCATCCATATTTAGATATTATCATAACAACATGACATAATCAGTTCGAGCTTTAATCAAAACATACCTTATTCGATCCACTCAACTATACTAGCCCAATTAAAATCAATCTTTGGAAACATAAGTAAACATGACATTGTGTTTATAGAATCACGTTAGTATGTAGTGGATATCTAAGCAATATGCTTTAGCTTTGTAGATCATGCACATTTCTTTGTATTATCCTTAAGGGTTTTGAGCCATTTATATGTTCAAGCTAGTGTGAAATACTCTTTATAAATATAAGGAACTTCAGGTCCGCACATCATATTCAATTTACATTCATTCCAATAATCTAACTTCAAGTATGTACATAATACTATAATTGAATGAGAAGGTAAAAATATGAAAACCTATTACTTCACGCTTTAATAAAAACATACCTGAATCGATTGAATCAACTATATACTGTCGGATCAATTATATCAATATATTGTCCGATAAAGCTTAATTAGAAAATAGAAACAAGCGCATAAGCAACCACATGTTTCATATCATACTTGAAATACAAAAACATAATTCAATACATAAATTATAAATAGTTTCACATGTACCTTAGGCTTACTTCGTACAATTTACAAACATTCAAGGCATTAGACATAGGATTTCACAAACAAATTATATGGGTAAATAATTGCTAAATCAAACCATTCATATTTGCTATCAAGCATAGAGAAATAACTAAACTCATTTACGGATAGGAAAAGTAATACAAAATCTAGCAAATATATGTAATACAATTTCATGAAAACCATACGTTCATAAAATTAACCCCAATAATAATTCTAAATACCCTTTTAGATTCAAACTAAACAAAACTCATAGTCAAAACAAAACTACTAATTAGTTATTCTGCATCAAATTCAACTATTCCCAAATTGCTCATTGAACTCCAGGAATAATAAAAATACGAAAATTTGGGAAACAATATAAACATATTATGTAAAAGTTTAAAATTAACAATAACATGATAGTTGAGAATGAACTTTCCTGATATCAAAACCTTTCCCACTAAAAACCAGCCTTATCGTCAACTTCATGTTATCAACGTCATCTGCTAGCCTGTAACTCATGAAAACGTCAATGAAAAGAAAATAAAGTATATCCCTTGATTAAGGCTAATCTATTATATTATGGATAGATGAGAAAGATGATTCAAGATAGACAAACCAATACAATCGAAAAATAATACGAGTAGTTCTTTGTAACCAATATTATTAATACCGTGAGACTCCTTGTACTAGTCCCAAATTAATTAATGAGGATTGGGAATTATATGACATTCTTGAAACGTGTGATTTCATTATTAAAAGATCAAAACCCATGATCAAGATTAATCTCCTTCTAATTTCTTCCCAAGATGCGACACAACAAGATAATAATAGTATAATTTAGCACATTTAGTATACAACGAATTAATCATTAACTTAAGAAATCAACAATAAAATTTACATATTGATTAGAGCTTTGGTTCTGATAACGTGTTATAAAACAGAGAGAAATATAAGAGAGATTGATAGAGAATATATCAGTGTATTTCTATTCCATATAATGGGGTTATATATATATATACAAACAATATAACTAGGGTTTGCTTAGATAACAATAAACTCTAGTTCTAGAACATTCCGAAATGATAAAGAAGGATAATGGATATCCATACAATATTTCATAACATATACCTTATTTTCCATCTCTCATTTTCATACAACTGAATTCCTTGATTTTGACTAGGCATGAGTTATCTATAGGAAAATATTCATCTTAATAATTATTCAGTACTCTGCTATATATGATGTTTTTGATTTCTATCGAGTTGTAGTACAATATGAAAATCAATTCGGGGCTCAGATATGTGCTGTCTATTACGTCTTGCAAGGCCTAAAGATAATCATAATCAATATTTTATAATTAATGAACTAACACTAAACCTCAAAATAAACTAAGTCATTGTTCAAGTTAGATGCTACATTCTATCTACCATGAAAAGATTGAACATAAATAGAAGCAATCTTACCTTAGGTGAAATCGACTTCACAAATTCAACAATGTCGAGCCTAAATGCAGTAATATGAGGGGGGCGAACACTGGTCGAACTGCTACACTAATCTGCCATATATTGTTTCTGTAATTTGCTAGAACTTCCTCGGGTTTTTTGGGGGCGTAATTAATCAATTTTTCCAGTCAAAAATTTCAGTCATTGCACGAATATGATGCCAGGATTTTTAATTGGATTTTTTGGGGTTTGTAGGGTTTGAATTCCTATGGTTTTGAGTAGATTTTTTTGCTCAAAATGGGGGATTTTTGGTCGAAAATGCTCAATTTTTCTGGGGTTTATGGGTTCGAATTTCTTAGGGTTTTTGGTTTTAATTTTGCTCAAAATTGCTCGGATTTGCTGCCGATTATGGGTCTTGAACTTGATTGTGATTTTGGATGTTGAATTTGCTGGGGAATCGAAGTTTTTTGGCAGAATTTGTTGGATTTAAGGGTCGAATTTATGGGTGTTTTGGCTGTAGAAATTCACTGGAGTAGCAACTCTTGTTTTTTTTCTTTTTGTTTAGTGAAAGGTAGGCGTGAAAAGCTAAGGACAAAATTTCTGAAATAACCTAAATGCAAAAGAGTTATTTGTGTCACTTAATTATTAAAATGCGACGCAAATAACAAAAAGTATAATGTTGTAGATTTTTCATATGCGTCGCTCATTTATTAAAAGAGTGACGTAATTTATTCACTCACTCATTTGCATTACTTGTCAATAAATGAGTGACGCAAATAAGATTATTATATGCATCTCTTCAATAAATAAGAGCGACGCAAATATTAGAAAGCTGAAATACATCTGACTTTTGCGTCGCTTCTTGAATAATATGTGACGCAAATAACTTTTAAGGATGGTAAAAATAAACATTTGCTTCGTTCTTTGGAATGAGTGACGCAAATATGGCGACGCAAATGTACGTTTTTCTACTAGTGTACATATATATATATATATATATATATATATATATATATATATATATGAGAATGCATCAAGAACTACTGTCTGACCCCTGCTTTGTGGCTGCAAATTTCACAAAGTTACTCCATGATTTTTCAGAGTATATGCTGCTAGAGTTTTTAAGGCTTGTTTAGGTTACAAGTGTTGCTACCTCTGGGGCTTGAAGTCTCCCTGCTGCCTAGGCTATAAAAATCAATTCTGATGCCCACTTGGCTGCTGGAAACCAGGTGGGGTTGGGTGCAGTTTTAAGGAATGATGTTGGGTGTATTGTTGCTGCTATAGTAAAGCGCTTGAGGGCAAGGTGGAGTGTGGAGCAGCCTGAAATTGCTGCTGCGAGGCTAGGTGTATTGGTGGTTGGGGTATGCGAAGGTTGAGCTTGAATTCCATACTTCCAATGTTGGTTATCTTGAAGGGTTAATTGGTTATGGTTGAAATGTGTTATCTTGATATTCCATGTGCTATTGACTCGAGCCAAATACAGTGATCGATTTATTAGGTGTGACTTAATTATGACAAACAATGAAGGCAACATATGATTTATATAAATTTTTATCTACTTTTGAGATTTATTAATTTACTTTTGATTTTTCTGTTCTTTACTTTAAATGTTCAATAATATTTTTTACTAGCCTACTAGCTCAATAGGTATAGCATTGTGCAAGTGTACAAAAATTGTGAGTTCGAACCCCACGCAGATTTTTCTTATGCTTCGAACCCCTATCAATGGCTTTACATGATAATATTTTGAACTGGTGACCCACAAAAAATGGCGAGTATAGTGTTAAAATAGGCTACTGGTTATACAGGTTTTGTGTGCTCTCGGATGTGGATGTTTTAGGGCAGGTGGAGAACAAAGAGCTCTGGGCTATTGTATAGTGCAAGAGAAGGAAACCAAAGCTAAATCAATTTATTTGGAAGACCTGCAAGCGTAATTTAGCTTTGAAAAGTATTGTTGTTCCATCGTCATACCTCACCAAATGCAATTTGTAGCTGTTGTAATGCTGCTTCAGAGTATGTAATTCATGTTTTATTTGAGTGCCAGGCCTGCAAAAAGGGTGTTGAAAGGTAGTAGCTTTGCTCAATTAATTAATGATGCCCCTACTTCCTCTTTTATAGATAGACTTTTATGGTTTGGTTTTAAAGATAGACTTTTAAGCAGCAACAACAACATGTCCCCTCCTCTTGCAGCAGCAGCTCCAGCATGTTCAATGACTCGGTTTCAATGGTTATTTATCCTGTTTAATGAATTCGTTATACATATACTCTTGAATTTTTTTTTCTCCCTTTTTTGTTTACGTTTTTTATTTTTCTATTCACTTTTAATTTGAAAACCTTTACTTTTAGTCTCGTATGCTTTTTATTTAATTATTTTTCTATTTTCTATAATTTACTTTATTTACTTTTGAGTAATAATGATTTACTTTTGACATATTTTGCTCTACTTTTGATTTCTTTTTGAGCTATTTTGATTCATTTTATCAATATTTTGATTCATTTTATTAATATTTTGACTTAGTTTTAAGATATTTTGAATAAATTTAGATTGTTTTATAATTACTTTTACAATAAATTAAGTAATAATTGAACTTACACCTTAATAAACCCACACAATGCTCTTGTCCACTTGAGTCAATATGTTTTCTTACCTTGAGTCAGTTATTCTTGTTATCCATTGATTATCAGTCCTTAAAAGATGACGAATATTGATAATGAGAGTCGGCAGATTAATCCTTCAAAGGGCATAGACAGAGAACAAAAGAGTGAAAAGGTGCCATTGTTGCAATATCATACTTTGATTATATCAAAGAATGATGCTAACACAGCTTCATATTTAAGTGGAGTATTGAATTTGTCTTTCACTATTGTTGGTGCCACTATTATGAGCTCACCAAATGCCATGAAAGTACTTGGTATTATCCTAGGGGTTCTTTTGATTTTAGTTTCTGGATTTTTGACAAAGTACTCCGTTGAGATATTGCTTCGCTATAGCGAAAAAGAAGGATCATATACCTATGGATAGCTCATGTATGTAGACACAACACATGGGATTTATAGTAGATAATAAGTCATGCCAAGTGTTTTGTTGCCCTTCCCCTACTATGCTACTTTTGCTCTGTCACCTGCTGCTGCTATGGTACTTCTACTCTGCCGCTTGCTGTTGTAAATGTTGCTTCCGAGTGCTTCACTACTAGAATCCGGACAAATAGCGACAATTTTTCTACGACAGCCAGCAAAACTGTCGTAATTTTTAAATTTTACGACGGTTTTTGTTTTTGTCGCAATATTACGACAGTTTTCTAGTCTGTCGCTGATTTACGACGGTTTTTGGACAATAAAATTGTCGTAATAGACATTAAAAATAATTGTAAATTTTTTAAAATATCAAAAACCGTCATAAAGAGTTGTTTTTTTCACAAAAAAAAAATACAGTATATAAATACCCCACAATCCCACACCAAACCCTAATAATGTATTGTCCGCCGCTTCATTACTTCTCTCCCTATCAGTTTCTCTCTCCTCTTTCATTTCTTTTCTCTTCTCTCTTTCTCAGATCATCTCCCCTCTTCTCATTCTCTCTTTCCTCTCTTTTTCTTCCTCCTCTCGTTTTCCTCTCTTTTCCTTTCTCCTCTCTATTTCTCATCCTTCGTTCTTTTCTTTCTCGTACTCCTCCTTCTTTCTACTTAATGCTGAGGGGTTTTTTTTTAGTCAAATTCATATTTTAAAAGTTCAATATCGTGATGGTGAGGTTTTTTTTAGCCAAATTGGACCAAAAAATTCCAGAACTGGAGTTTCTATGGTCGAATTTGACCCATAAAATCCAAAGAAGAGGAAAGTTTCGAAGGTAGGTTAATTATTTTCGTTCATCTTCATTTGATTTTTGTTTAATTTGTTTGATCTTGTTATTTTGTCATTTATTTTCGTTTGATTTTTTGTGGCATTTTTGTTTGAATTTTGTACCCTTTTGATAATTTCTGTTATTTCATTAACTTGTTTGTTTGATTTATTCTTGGGTTTTGATTATTTGATGTATATTTGTATTTCTTGTTTGATGTTTGTTATTTTTATGTATTTGTTTTATATTTTCATTTATCTTTGGTTATTATGTTCGGTTTTTTCTTTGATTTTTTGTTTGTTGTGGTTTAATTTTTAGATCTTAATGTTTAATTTTTTGGGTGCAAGGTTAGGGGGTTGTCGATGGTTAGTGTAAAGGGGAATTGTTGGATTTTAGATTTTTTGGTTTAATTTAAGATCTAGGGTTGTTTGTGGGTTTATGTGTTTTCTTGGCTTAATTTGGTGGTTTTAGGTGGCAGTGGAAAGTGTGTGGTGGTGCTAGGTGGTTTGTGGTGGAGGTTGGTGGTGGTTACGGGTTATGCGGCTGGGATATTGTGGGTGAGGGTTAAAGGAGAGATGTGGCTGGGTTGAGGGGTTTCGTTTTTTTTTTAATTTTTTGCGACGACTTTTTTTTTAAATAAGGTAAAAAATTTTATTAATCACCAAAATTAGTAAACCAAGATACAAACAAAACAAAGTTCGCCAGTTAAGGGAACACACAAACACCCCAAAAACCCACTACACCCATACAAACAAAACTGAAACAAACACAAACAAGACAGCTATTGAATAAGAATCTTGACCCACTCCCTATTCTTTCTGCTAGTCTTCAAAGGCATAATCTGCATCACTCTTCTATAAATGTCACAGAGCAAATTCTGCACCACTCTCTGAGGATCTTGCAGACACTTATCCCACACAAACTTGTTCCTTTGCTGCCACACAACATACAATAACCCAGCATAACAGCTCTGCATTACTCTTCTCTTGAATCTGCCTGACACCTTTAGAAGCATCTCATTACAGTCTTCCAGAGAAGTAGGATTTTGCATACCCAACTTTCTGCCAATAATACTACAACATTCAGTACTGTAATGACAATCAAAGTAAAGATGATCCACAATCTCAGCATGATTTGCACATAAAGGGCAATCTGTCTCAGTAATGATGCCATACTGAGTTAACTTAGTCTTCACTCTTATTCTTTCCACATGATCAACCACCCCAGAAATCTATGTTTTGGAATATTGAATCTGTTCCAAATCCACTCACACCAAGGAACTTCAGGCAAATCTTTTCTGAGCCATCTGTAACCACTTGCAATAGTATACCCTTTCTCATTTGCAAGCCATTTCTGACCAGTATAGCCCTTTTTAAAACATTCCTTCAAATGCCAGATCTGCTTCCAGTTCCAACTTGCAGATTTAGCACAAGGAACTCTCTTCCAACTCTTATTCTTCATATAAAGGTGATTAATCCACCTAAGCCACAAACTATCTTGCTTTGTAGCTATATTCCAAATCTGTTTCCCAAGAGCAACAAGGTTTCAAGTCTGGCAATCATGGATCCCTAACCCACCCTGACTCTTGGTTCTACATATAATATCCCAGGCTATAGGTGGGGTCCTATTAAAAATAGGTTTACCATCCCAAAGAAAATTCCTGCAGACAGCAATGATACCATTCAAAACCACCTTAGGCAGAATGAAAATACTAGCCAGTAAGAGTGCAGGGTAAGCAAGACAGAATTCACCAATTGAGCTCTCCCAGCATAAGATAAGGTCCTTGAACCCCAAGATCTAATTCTGGCAGTGGTTTTATCAATCAACACCTGACAATCAGTCCTAGTTAGCTTCTTGGAACTAACATTTACCCCCAAGTACTTAAAAGGAAGAAAATCTTCCTTAAAGCCAGAATTCTGAATGATTTCCTGCTTAACACGAGGATTCATATTACAACAGTAAATATTAGACTTTCCATTATTGGCCACCAAACCAGAAGCAGCAGCAAAAGTAGCTAAGCTTCTCATAAGCATCTCCACAGAACTCTTGTCACCTTTGCTGAAAAGAATAAAATCATCAGCAGACACTAGATGATTCAACTTCAAACTTCTGCATTTAGAGTGAAAAGAGAAACTCTTATGCTCACCCACCATCTTCAGAATTCTTGAGAGGTATTCCATACAAATCACAAAAAGCAATGGTGACATAGGATCACCTTGCCTTAAACCCCTCTTACCATGAAAAAAAACCTTCTAGTTTACCATTAATGCTTAAAGAGAAAGAAGCAGTGGTAACACAAGTCATAACCCAAAGAATGAACTTACCTGCGAAATTTAATGCTTGCAAAATCTCCCCCAAAAAGTCTCATTTCACAAAATCATAGGCTTTCTTAATATCCACCTTCAACAGACAGTTACTAGAAGCATTCTTTCTCCCATAATGAGCAACCAAATCTTGAATGATGCAGATATTGTGAATAATCTTCCTATTCTCCACAAAACCAGTTTGATTAGGAGAAATAATCACAGGGAGCACCTTCTTCAATCTCTTACAAATCAGCTTAGTAATGCACTTGTAGATTACATTACAACAAGCTATGGGCCTAAACTCCAATACAGAAGTTGGATGATCAACTTTTGGAACAAGAGATAAAGTTGTAAAATTAATTTCCTTAAGAATCTTGCCATTCTCAAAGAAACTAAGCACTGCATCAGTGAACTCTTCCCCAACAATATTCCAAGCTTTCTTGAAAAAGAAACTAGAATAACCATCAGGGCCTGGAGCTTTATCTCCAGGAATAGAAAACACAGCATTTCTGACTTCTTTCTTAGTAAAAGGACTACACAAATTCATAGCTTGCTCATCATTCAAAATATACCCTGTCTGAACAATTTCTTGCTGAACATTTATCCTGTTACTAGAATCAGAACCCAAAAGAGCTCTATAATAATCAATGAAAGCCTTATTGATATCATTTGGGGTATCACAATCCACCCCCTTATCATCCTTGATAGCCACCACTCTCTTCCTATACTGTCTCAATTTAATACTCCTATGAAAATAGGCAGTATTCTCATCACCAACTTAAGCCAATTAATTTTGGCATTCTGCTTCAGGGAACCAAAATAGTCTTTTTTTATTCTACTATAATCCTGCAGGATTATCCTTTCCAAAGCTTTCAAATCTTCATTCTCAACATCATCTTGAATCTCTTTCTGAATGCTAACAAGATCTTCCCCTAATTTCCTGTATTTGATCTCAAGATCAGAGAAACACAACTTGTGAAAACTTCTCAACTCATGCTTCAATTTTCTCAATTTAACCATCATTCTATACATAGGAATTCCATGAACATTACTCTGCCACACATCCTTGCCTAACTATTCATAAACCTAAAAGGTTTTCTCTTCTGAGTCTCAGGAGCAGCAAGAAACATCATAGTAGGGCAGTGATCAAACCATTTCTCAGGCATATAATGAACATAAAAGTTAGGAAACTCCAGCACCCAATCCTCATTACTAAGAGTTCTGTCAATTCTACTATAGACTCTATTCAACCCATTCTGCTTATTATTCCAAGTATAAGTAGCTCCCACTTTATTAAGATCAGCAACACCAATAGAAATAGTACTGCCCACCCTATCCTCAAAATTAAGAGGACAATTAAAATCACCAGAAATCACCCAAGGAGAAGCCATTTTATCACCTATATCTTTCAAACCCTTCCACAAAGCATCTCTTTCAAGAGCATCATTACTTCCATAGACCACAGTCATATAGAAAGACTTATTTACAGCTACATTAGTCACTTTTGTATGAATGTACTGGCTAGTAATATTCACAATATTAACATGGAAAAACCCAGGCAACCAAGCAATCAAAATTTTACCACCTTTGCAACAATGAAAGTTAGTAGAAATACACCGACCTTGAAACATAGAGTGATGAATTTTAGGAAAGTTCTGAGTCTTGATCTTAGTTTCCAACAAGCAACAAAGACCAATCTTATTCTGCAGAAGAAAAGAACTCACATCCTTCTGCCTCTCAGGGCCATTTAAGCCCCTCACATTCCAGATAAGGACATTATCCATGATCTGGAGTGATTTCTACTCCATTTCCAGGAACAACACCCAAATCATTATCATCAGCACCCCACCCCAGACAACAACATTATGCCCATTTAGATCCCCAAATAGCACCTCCTTATGTTGCAGGCCATCAAAAGCATTCCTAGTGGGAATTTGAGCATTACTTTTCAGAACTGACCTAGTCTTCCTATGAGAAGCAACCCACCCCTCTTTATCTTCCTGATTATCCTTTTTCTCCAAGACATCCTTTACTGGAACAGGAACATCACCTTGTACCACCTTAGGCTTCCAAACCTTCTTCCCCTTCCTGCAGTCTTTCACTTCATGGCCCATGTTCTTACAAACATCACATTTCACAGGATTCCACTCATAAACCACTTGCTGCTGAATAGACGTTCCTATCTCAGACACAAATTCTATTATCTCATCAAACTGTCCATTAACATCAATTTCTACCAAGTACCTAGCATAAGAAACCCTATCCTTCATTTGAGTAGCTAAATCAGGTCTAATTGGAGTCCCAATTAAACAAACAATCTTCTCCAAATAAGACTTCCCCCAATATTTCAGAGGTAATTTTGGTAATTGAACCCAAACAGGGACCCTAGTAAACTCATCAGCACTAAGTTCCATCCCATCCTCCCATTGCTTCAAGAACACAGGTCTCTTATCAAACATCACATGCCAAGCATTTAATGCCTTTTCCTTTGTTTCATTATTCAGAAATCGAATTAAGAATATACCCTTCTTTAATGGTATCACCTTATCAACATTCTTATCTCCCCAAATTCTCTTACAAAAACCCAGAAAAGCATTCAAATAAGGATTATTACCCATCACATAAGCAACAACCCCCAATTTCCAACATCATCAAAAGATAATTGCAATTTCGGCTTAGTCTGATTTACCTCAATCGTAGATGCTCTGTTTTCCTCCAATCGAACAGTACCCCGAGTTGCAGGATCAGCCATAACATTCAACCAATCATTCAATTGCGACTTCTGCCTTGAACCTTGAATCAATTCCTGAATCGATTGAGCAAGAGATAGAATGAAATTCTCCAGTTCATCAGCATCATCAAAGTTCAAATGCGGAATACCCTCTCTATTCATCCTCGATTTCGTCTTCACAACTGTGCTCACTGGATTCACCATGTCAATCCCTTCACGAATTTGTGATTTTTCTTGGCTCTCTCTCACTCTATTGGAGTCCTTAGTCGCTCGTTTCCTCGCCATTACAGAGGTTTAGAGAGAGAAAGACTTTCCTTGAGAGAGAAAGTTTAATTAAGATGTTTGGAATATTTTTCCTAGAGATTCTTTATTTTTGCGACGGCTTTTAGTTGTCGTTAAAGTTGGTGTTTGCGACAGTTTTCATGGTTGTCGTAGTTTGCGACGGTGTTTAGCTATCGCAGATTAATTATTACAACAAAAAATAAAACTGTTGCTGAAATTAGTAAAATTGTCAAAAAAAAGGTTTACGACAGTCAAACTGTCGCAAAAATAAAATTTTGCGACAACTGTGATTGTGACAAACGGTTTACGACAGTTGACTGTCGCAACTATTTTTTGCGACGGTTTTTACTATTTTTGCGACAAATTTTGGCTGTCGTAAAATAGCTTATTTCTTGTAGTGCTTAGAGTTGAGCCAAACGGGAAGCTATTGTGAGCAAGAGGTGGCCTGTGCACCTTGGAAGCCTGTGAGCAACAGTAGAAGTAATATTATTTATTTACGTTAATGATGTTTTAATTTCTTTTTAGCCTTTTTTATTTACTTTTTAAGTATTTTTATTTACGTTTACTTCAAATTTATAAGATTCACTAGCCTACTAGCTCAACCGGTAGAGCATTGTGCAATTGCACAAAGGATGTGGGTTCAAATCCCACGTAGGTTCATTTGTTTAATCTACATATTAGACTTCGCATTAAAGTTTAAATTATTTGTATGTTTTACTAGATTAATTATTTTTATTTTATTTTTTGTTTACTTTTGATAAAATTTTATTTACTTTATATTTGAAAACCTCTACACTTAATATACTTTGTTTCTTATAACTTGACTCATCTTATAAGTATATGAAAGTCTCGGAGTTTTTGTGATATAACAAAGTTTTCGTAGTCATTAATCATTTCAAGCTAATTTATTTTTCGTATACTGTAGAGCTAATGTGATTTACTTTTTAGTTATTTTTATTTACTTTTAAGCTATTTTGAATAACTTCATAGTGTTTTTATATTTACTTTTGCAGAACCTATATAGGAATCGAACCTACATCTCTGTGCATCTGCATAGTGCTCTACCATTTGAGCTAATAGGTTTAGTCTAAAGTCTTTTATTATTTAATTTACTTTAGATTCTATTTTATTTACATTACACTCTTTTTTATTCACTTTAAAGGTTAAGTCACAAATTATAGAGGAATGGTCAGATTGGAGCATGGGACAAGGACAAATGTTTTTTCTTAGGTTGTGCATTGATAATAAGTATAAAACCAAGCATTGCAAGCAATTGAAACTTAATAATGTGGAATAATCTAAATTCTAGTAAGTGCCAAATAATTCACCGGAGAAAAGATCATAAGTATGACTACTGCCCTCAGAGCCTAGAGCATTTGAGAGAGATAATTTAAATGAAAATGAAGAAATGTTTGACCAATGTGTGACAAAATGATACCTGTTCTGCTAAAGATTTATCAAGGGTTGATGAGAAATACACAGCTGGTCAGCAAAATCACGATGTTTTGGTCCTTCCATACCCCGTCTTTCTGCTGTGACAATTGACTCTTCAAACATTTACTTTGAGAGGAGGGAAATTGGGACACCTTGACCAAACATTAGTGTACTTAATATGGACCAAAGAGAAGATAAGAATAAAACACTAGACATGAATATTTCAATGGGACTGGCATCCACTAGATTGATGAGTCCTGTGAAGAAATTGAACAGAGAGAAATCTAGGCAAAATGACAGAAGAAAATATAGGTCTTTCACCAAAATGTACTACAAATAATTCTTGTGATAGAGCTATCTCAAGTAACATACATTCTTCCAAGTCCACAGAAATTCCAATCAACATATATTTTCATTTCCGCTCATACTCACATCTTTAGATGGTAACACGTAACGATGATAATGAAAGAAAAGAGAAGGTTCAATAATGACGAGTCACAAAATTAAACGAGAACTTCATTAACAATATCTTAATTTATTACCTAATAACTAAAGAGCTTTCTCAAAAAATATACTTCGTATTATAGTGAATAAATCAAAGCAAGCTTCAATAATTACCATTCCAGGAATCCAGTGACATCAGGTCTAATAAGAAGCTGCTGGGTGGTACATTATGTGACTGCTTCTGTTCCGAGCCTATTGTATTTTTAACTTGATCTTGGCATGGGCCATATGCCATGAGCTTGAAGGCTTGAAGTTAAATTTGAAAATTGATGGAAAATCTTGGTAAGCTGAAGAGAGGGTCCTTTACTTATACTGAAAAGAGTTTTAAATCATCATTGGGTAAATAACAGCAATTTGCAGGCATTTGAAATTCCTTTTTCCAATACTAAATCACACGTAATAGCAGATGGGATCGATATACTAGTATTAAACAAGTCTCTGGTCTAAGACATATCCAGAAGAGCTGGAATAAGTAAAATACTACAATATAGCAGCCATTAAACAGTTTCACTCTAATAAGAATCAACTACTCCGTAAGAATATTGTCTTCATACCTTTTGTGCTACAAACTACTACAAGGGTGGCACCCAAGAGCTCCTAGCAGCTGCCCCATTCATACTCCTCCCTACCAGTCCTAGAATTCATAGCAATTTCATGATTTCGGAAGCATATAGAAGGTGAATTTCATTTCTATTTACTTTTAACGGATTTTTCACCAAATACCACTGAGTTAAAGCTTAATTCACCATATACCACCAAAAACTTTCTAATACACCATGTACCACTGAGTTTAACATAAATGTCACCAAATGCCCTTAATGACTAACGTCGTTAACTCCGTTAGTCATTAAGGTTAATTGTGCCACGTGGCTGTCACTTATTGGTTCTTATTAATATTATTTAATTAATTACTTAAATAAAGAATAAAAAAACTTAAAAAAAATAAAATAAATAAACCACCACCAACCTAGCCACCGCTCCCCACCCAGCCAACATCCCTGCCCCTACCGGCACCACCATGTCTACACCGCCACCACCGCCCCCACCGCCGCCACCATGTCTACACCGCCACACATCCCTTTCCCTTAAACCACTATCCTCTCAAGTCCCACCCTAAAACTCGAAAAACCCTCTCTCCGACGCCCAAACCCACTTGTCGGCTCCCAGACCCACCTTCCCCGAGCCGGCGAACCTAAGTCACCCCTCAATCTTCCAACTCCACCCCTTTCCCCCCTCTGAACCACCACCCCAAAACCCTAAAACCCCAAAATCAAAATCTAGGGTTTCGATTTTGGGTTTTGGGATTTTGGGTTCAACTGCGGGCTGGTCAGGTGCTTAGCGTGGTGGTGTAGTTGGTGCCGTGAAATGAAGGTAAGGTGTTGTGGTGGTTTGTAGCCGGTGTCGTGTGGTGGCGAATTGGAGGATGTGCGGTTTGTGTGGGTGAGCTGGGAGGTGGTGCGAAGTAGAGTTGCGTGGGTGGTAATTTGGGTGGTGTTCGGCGGCAAAGGGCTGGAATTGGTAATTGTTGCAGTTTGTATAATGGCAGCAGCGGTGCGGCTGGAGATGCGGGGGAGAAAGGGAATTGGTTGTGTGGGGCTGTGATTGGGGATGGCAGGGAGGTGGTCAGGTGTTGGGTGTGGTGGATCAAGGGAGAGATTCGTGCACCGGCGCAAGGCTGGGTACGGTGAAAGTCAGCGCCGACCCGGTGGTGGTTCAAGGCTGAGAGCAGGCGGCGAGGGGCTGGGCTGCTAGGTGGCGGTTGTGGGGAGGGGAGATGGCTGACAGTTGGTGGTGGTTTTATTTATTTTTTTAATTGTTTTTGTTAAAGTTTTTTAATTAATTAATTGATTAATTATTAAAGTAAATAGTTTAAGTAAGAGCCAATTAGAGGCTGCCACGTGTGACATTTAACTCTTCATGACTAACGGGGTTAAGAAAAAGGGCATTTGGTGACATTTATATTAAACTCAGTGGTACATGGTGTATTAGAAAGTTTTTGGTGGTATATGGTGAATTAAGCTTTAACTCAGTGGTATTTGATGAAAAATCCGTACTTTTAAATATATTAGGCTTACTTTAACTTATTTTGTATCTACTTTTATTACTTGAAAACTCATAAAGCTCACTTACCCAACAATTATAGAAAAAAAGAGAGAAGGTATTTCAATCTTACATTCAAGCTAAAAAAAATAAATTGTTCACAGTTCTTATAGAGGAATCTAACAAAACCAAAAAGAACATCCAACCTCATCACCATTTAGCCATTTAAAGAGTTTCAGCATCAAATTAGATAAAAAATTCGTTTAAATAGATAAAATTCACATATAATCAAATTACATTCAATCAAACAAAACAATCAAAGAACTGAATCAAACAAAACAACAGCGTCAAATCGCACAATTCTCTATTAAAAACATCTAAAAATATCTCTTTGAAAATCCAATAGATAAAATAATTTGCAACACTTTGTTGAATTTAGACCTAATTATAGCTAAAATTACAAAAGACTTAAGAAATTGTGACAAAAATTCTAATTATACCTTTTATGAGCTTGATTTTGCATGCTTGAGTGAAATTTTAAGCGTTTTCTGAAGATATTTGAATGAAATTTACCAAATAACCTTCAATTTTCAGTAAGCCAGCAAGGTCTCGATTAATTTGCATCAAGTTCTTGAATAAAATCGGTGATCTACAAATATAATACTTCCTCCGTTCTATTAATATTGCAACAATGGACTTTTTGCACTATTCATCACTCTTGTTTGACCATATAATATGAGTTATACGTTAAGCAAAATATAGTGAAGTGGGATATTGTTGGATTCGTCTTATAAAATACTTTCACAATATCAAGTTTTTATATTTTTTACTCTTACACAATAATAGATATTTAGCATATAAAATGTGTTTTGGGATGCGTAATTTTCTCCTTGTTGCAATATTAACAGAACGGAGGAAGTATATCTTACAATAGAAATTAGAAACTACTTCAATGAAGTATAGAAAACTTAGAAGTCGCTTCAATGGAGTAGTGAAAGCACAAAAATCGCTCCAATGGAGTAGAGAAAGCTTAAAGGCCGCTTTAATGGAGAATTTTAGAGTCTCGTTGTAATGGAGGAGAGAGAAAGTGCGCTTGCTTTTTGGGAAATGAACTGAATATGCGTGATTCAATCTAGGTCGTTGATCGCGCGCCTATTTGTCTCTGATCTAACGGTCTGGATTAGTTCATAGTTCTTCCTATTTTAGATTTAGTTCTCATTATAACCTGGTCCTATATATATATATATATATATATATATATATATATTTTTTTTTTTTTTTTTTTTTATATATATATATATATATATATATAAAGCTAAACTTTTAGCCAGGTCACGAAATAGTGACACTTGACATTCTAACTTTTCGCCAAGTGTTGCGCCACCTTGGATAGATTTAAATAGATTCATAAGATAAAAAAGTTGTTAAAAATTCTTTTTTCAATCAAATTAGGATAGAATTTTAGGCCACAAGACAACATCGTATAGCATTTTAACTTTTCGCCAAGTGTCGTACCACGTTGGATAAATACAGATAGACTTTGTAGAAAAAAAGTTAATTAAGAATTCTATTTTTAATCAATTAAATTGAATTATAATATAATTTTATCTTAAAATTTCATAAACAACCCGGGCATCGCACGGGGCACAAAACTAGTGTGTGTGTATATATACATATAATAATAATAATAATAATAATAATAATAATAATAATAATAATAATAATTTTATTTGAAAAAATTATTTGATTATAATTCACAAAAATTATCATATAAACTTATTTTTCATATCATAATATTTTTTTGCAGCGAAGGAAGTAGTTCAAAGCGTAAAACATCCATACCGGTTAAGATAATATACTTCACAATCTAATAAAATTTTATTACCATGTAGCTCTGTCAATTAGAGTCGGGTCATGAGTCATCTCGAATTGAGTCATTTCAGGTTACGAGTCACGAAATATTTAACCCTTGCCCAAAGTTTTGGGTATGGGCCGGATCAATCCAACGGGCTTTGAACATTTATTTTATTTTATTTATTTTTTGCTTTTTTTTTTTAAATTTTTTTTGATGTATTAAATCGAACATTTCCACCAATTCCTATTAGATAGCAAATCGTCACAACAACACTTCAATTCCTAACTAATTTTATATCAATGATATATTTTAAAATTTGACATATATCTTAAAATTCAATAAACAACCAGGGCATCGCACGGGTACAAAACTAGTATATATATAAAGGGGAGTTTTTTCCCGAGTTTTTAGAGAGCTACATAGGATTTAATTTTCTTAGAGTGCCATGTAGGATAATAAATTTTAGTGGTAGCCAATTAAATATAAGATTATTAATTTCGTTCTTTTAGAATTAAATAATTTAAATGTCACATAGCAAAATTAGCGAATGATATTTTCTAATTTAAATTAATTAAATATAAAATATTATCTTTTGATATAAGGAATTTTATTAAAATATGCAACAAATTTTAGCACATAAATACAAAAAAAAAAATATTTTACAAATTCAAACAAACTGTACATTACACGGGATTCATCTAGTACAGTATAGTATAGTGTAAATTAAAATATAAAAAATAAAAAATTTCATACCGTACAAAAAAAATTACAAGTACCTGGTACTCCAGTTTCAAAAAAATTAAAAACTTGGGAGTAATTCAGGAGAGAGAGAAAGTGCAATTCCAGCTACCCGATCACTCAAGATCCAAACCCATTACCAAATCCATCAATGGACGGCGTAGTTGTCGGCGCCAGCGGCAGAGGCGGTGTCGCCACAACCGGTGGCGGCGGAACAACTTTGTCGGAGGTTTACCAAAATGCGAAGAAACTACAATTGAAGATTAGAGACTCCCTCGAAAGACTCGAACGCCTTGAATCGTCCACCTCCACCGCCTCGCCGGAGTTCGCTTTTGATGTCAAGAAGGATATCTCGAATCTTCATTCTCTTTGTAATGATATGGATCATCTTTGGCGCTCTGTCGCGGTTAAATCTCAGCGTGATCTCTGGAAAAGGTTTTTGCATTTTCTCTCTCCTAGGGTTTCGATTTTTGTTTTTGTTGATTGTTTGTTTGATTGATCTTGATTTTAGTAATTTTTGGATGATTTTGATTTGATTCTAGGATTCTGCCTTGATTTGAATTTTTTGCGTACAGTTTTGGTTATATTTGCACAGAATTTTGGAATTATTTACATTGAATTTCAATTCGAAATTAGGTGTTAATTTTTATTTGAAATTTGATTGTTATCTGTTTACTACAATATGTTGTAATGTTGTAATTCAACTATTCAAGCTAGCATCTGCTACAATTGGTTAATTCTTTGTTAGTATGCTTTATCGTATCGCGGAATAGCCAAATTTAACTAAGTTATCTTGAAACACAATTGAAAATTTGAAATGCCTTTGTGGCCTGGTATTTGGATTTGAGATTGTATAACAGGTTCTGTTGTGGTATGTCGAGATTGTCATGTAATACTACTCGAAGATATTATAGATTGAATTCCTAATGATTATCCATGTTTATGTCGAAATGCAACTAATATAATGGCGGTCATTTTCCATTTGAGGTTTTCCGTGAGTCGAATTTGCAGTGTGAGACATAGAAATTATAACTGTATTGTATTAGTTTTGTTGTATAGAGTAGTTTTCTGCTGGCTTTGTATTTTGTGCTAGGATGTTTATATGAGCATGATTGTATTTTATTGTTAACCAGAAAAGTTGAGCAAGTTGCTGAAGAGGCATATTCATTGAAAGAAAGTTTAGACAAATACTTTATGAGAAATCAAAGGCGGATGCAGGAAGCAAAGGAGAGGGCTGAATTGCTGGGAGGAGCTGTATGTAATTTCTTCGTAGTCTAAGCTAGAGCTTTTGAATTTATGCACATTTTTCATTGATATATGTTTGTTTATTATATCCTTCTTCATTATCTTATATTGCTGCTTCATGCTTTAGAACGGGGAATCTTCTCATGTCCTAAGAATCTTTGATGATGAAGCACGAGCAATGCAGTCAGCTCACAACTCTTCAAGGATGCTGGAAGATGCTTATTCAACTGGGGTGGCCATCCTTTCAAAGTTCGCTGAGCAAAGAGAAAGCATGAAGGTAACTTCTCTTGCATTGTTGGATTTCAGCTCTGTTGGATACACATTTTTCATTTATTTTTGTCCAATATGAGCTTTGTTTCTTTGAATTTGAAGTCTGCTTTTCTGCTTTTGTGTTAAGAGTGTCATGCATGTAATGGTTCTAGATGGATATCAGGGTTTTGTGTGCATGACATGTCATATAAACAGTACTCTGAATAAAAAAGGGTACATATCAGTTGGACATTGTTAGTGAGTATAGTTTCTCTGTAATATCTTCCATTTTTAACCTTGGCTCTACACCCCCCTTTCCCCCTTCTCTTTAGGCTACTCAAATGGATGTAGTTATGATCTAGAGCGGTGAGTTCCATTTCCATTCAATATATTGTGGATTTCTGAAACTATATACCATACCGTAATGTTGTCAATGATAATGCAAGATTAGTCCCATACTAATGTCTGTGATTATGCAACTCCACCTTGAAGTACTTACCTGTCTGGCTGTTTATATGAATCATTACCAATAATTGGAGTGGTATTGAGTAGTAATAGAATTTTGGGAAGATTAACTCATTTTTGGGGATAGAAAAGCAATTCATGAACATTGAACTCCTTGCAATTACCAAACAAGTCACAAATTTTTGTCTCATACCTCGCCCTTTTCATATATACCTTTTTTCCTTTCCTTTCTTTTATCCATCTGCTACCTTGTATTCCTCATTATTGCTGCCTTGTAATTTCCTCATTACTGCCTCCTTGGTTGCATGAAAACTCTCATTAAGGTCATGTTTCTTGTTTTGAAAACTGTGCAACTCGGAAACTCAAGGTGAGACATTTTTTTTATAAACCAGCAAACTTTTTAGATTTTTCCTCCTTAAGGATCTTTAGAGTCATATAATGACCTTTTTCTTTTAAAATTGTTTGAACAAACCAAGTTACCAAACTAATGTATACCCTCTTTTAAGCAAAGCTATTGATGTATGGTTTTAATTTTTGCATTTCCACTTTTCTGTTGCCTTACCCCATCTACAGTTCATCTATTCTGCTCACTAATATCCACCATTTTCTCAATCAGCCCTTACTACCATCTCCTACTTCATCCTCTCTTCGTCATCAATCAATAGCACAGTTAATTTGGCACAAAATACTGATAATATTAAGGGAAAATATAAGGAATTTTTTTTTCTTTTTGAACTTTTGAGTTGATCAATTATCAATTATTATACTTTACACATTGTATCTCTTCTATATAATCAAGGAACAATGTCAAAAGAAGTTGAGACAAGTCAGATAACCCTAAAAATAAAAAAATAAAAAAAAAGAAGAAAAAGAGCTAATGGTACATTGTTCCCAAGCATATAGGGGTAGGTCAGAAGACCCGATAGGTAGACCTGTTCAATGGGCTGGATCAGGGCAGGGCCGGGCCTTAATTTAAAGGGCCAGACCAGGCTAGGGTTAAGGTTAATCTAAAACGGGTCGGGTCAGGATTCGGGACTCGGCCCGGCCCAGCCAATTTAAACTTTGCAAACAAAGTTATAAAAGTTTATTAAGAAAAATAAAATTAAATGAATTGGGTCTTCAAAGGGCCTTGATATTTAGAACACTTGTACGAGTATAGCCTTGTACAATCCAAGTTAGGAAAAGGATATTAAGAGAATAAGAGAGGTCATTATGACATTATGTTACTTATGTATCATATATTAATCTATAATAAGTATTAAGTACCTTAATATTTAGAAAACTTATAAAAATTCCTCAAAGCTTTCAAACTTTCCCTGCTATTCACGATCCGATCCCCAATTTCCTTTATTTTTTTTAATTTTTTTTTAATTTTTTTTTCTTCTGAAATTGCAATTAACATTAGATTGGTGGACGATCATCACAAATTCGATGAAACCATCATAGATTCCATAAACCTGACAAAAAAGCTAAATTCGTGGACGACCTACAATGAAGCACGGCGGAGCAAGCAAGAGAGCAGAGCAGAGAGACTACTAATTTGGGGATTTTTTTAGGGTTTATGATTTGGGAGAAATATGGGGATTTTTTTAGGGTTTATACTTGAGTGAAGAGAGTGATACGGAGTAGAAGTTACAGAGATTTAGAGTGATACGGAGTAAGGGAGAGAGAATCAGGAAACTAGAATGAGAGTGTTAGAATAGAGGATAAAAAGCCCTCAAAGTGTAATCCTTTTCCAGCCTTTTTAAAACCTTGTACAACCCTTTAAAAGCCCATAATTTCTTAACCCTTTAGAAGCCCGCCTCTTTTATGGACTGGCCTGGCCCAGCCCGGCCTTGTTTAATTTAGGGATGGATTAGGTCTTTTAGTGGGGGCCCGTCCATTTGTGCAGGTCTACCAATAGGGTGTTAACTGTTGAGTGGTGATAATACCCTCACGAGCTGGGTTGCCAAGAGTTTCGAAACTGTAATTCAACATTCAAGCGAACTATCTTAAAGTTAACCTCATAAATTACTGTGGCTCAGTGGGTTTCATCATCTTCTGTCTTAGCACAATTGCAGTTCCCTACTCCCTGTTTAATTTTATTTTTTGTAATGAATAGTCAAATTTCAAAACTTATGGACTGATTAATTGTATCTTAAAACTATATTGATCTAAATGGTGCAACTAACTGAATATAAAAGTATAAAATTGTATTTAGGTACATGGATTTTGTAAATTAAGCTATCAAGTTATGCAAGTTACTTATGTGCAAAGATCAACTTGGAAGACCACAAAAAACTTTTTGAGAGTTGAGATGGCTTAATGGCTATTTTGGGACAAAGGAAGTAGGATAATTTTGGGAATTGTTGGGAAAGGAAGTTCCTTTGGTGATCAGCTTGATGAATCTAATGGTTTTGTGGCTAGAGTTGAATATTAGGATTTACCATTGTGGTATGTGGAGGACTGGAGGTATAGGGTGTGAGCTGTTGGGTATAGAGTGCTTTATGTTGCTTCCTTTTCTTGCCACTACTTGTTGTGGGGCGGGGGTGGTTTCCAGGTCTTTCCAAATGGGAGTTGAATAGAGTCCGGACTTTTAGCTTGCGTGGTATGCACAATTGTGAGCCTAAGCTATTTGTTAAAGTTTTTAGAAGGTCCAGCAATGGTGAATTGTTTCCTGTAGAAGGTTGTGTTGATTCTGTGAGTTTTGCTGGTGGTGGAGGGTGAAGAATAGTGAGAGGAGGATGAGTGGAGAAAAGAGGGAGTGGAGGGAAGATATGGCTGTTTTGGGGTTCGTGCTATGGTTTCTTTGGGGGAAAGGGATTTGCATGCTGAGGTGAGGTGGAATTAGTTGGGAATGTATGGGCGAAGATGGGGAGAAAAAGAGCTAGTGATTGCAGAGAGTGGAGAAGACAAAATGTGTTTTTTTTTTTTTTTTTTAAATTAGACATGCTGATGATTATAAGGTATGATTTCATGTATTAATGAGGAATAATTAACTTTAGTACCCTAATAAAAGAGTCCATGAGTGAATTTAGGTACTTAGTTATATGTTGAAGCCTTTAATTGTCCTTTAAGCATGGCACGTGAAGTTGAAATATGAAGTATAACTTTAATTACTACTTATTCTACTAAAACTTCGAAATGAAATGTAGGCTTTCTTTTTCTACTTAAAATCTGCTCGTTTCTCCTTTATTGCTGCTCAGGAAAGTACTTACAGCAGCCACTCTGGCGTTGGGGAAATGTGTCATATGTTTGACCCCGCCGCTTACTCTAGCATTGGGGAAATTTGATATTATATGTTAGCTGTGACGATTCTTGTCTATCCCATTACATTAGAAGAAATGAAGGCAGTAGGCCAGTAGCCCTCTCTTCATCGCTTTATTGTTGATTTTTTTTTCATTATTGCATTGTTTCAGAGTGCACATCGAAAGTTACTTGACGTCCTGAATACAGTGGGGCTCTCCAACTCGGTGCTTAGGTTGATTGAGAGGCGGAATCGTGTCGATACTTGGATAAAATTCGCTGGAATGATCCTCACTTTTGTTGTCTTGATTATGTTGTGGCGGTGGAAACACTAACAATCCCCATTTGTGATCTATGATGGATACCCTAGTACCTTACTGTCTGAATCTGCCCCTTGTGTGGAAAGACTGGGTATCATTGACGGTTAATGTCACAATTTGTGGATACTGAATGATAATATTGTAAAAAGATTGGTCTAAAGCAGTGAAAATGATTCAGGTCTCAGTATATGAGCTTTTGACAATCCATGGAAATGTAAATAGTTATACGTTGTTTTAGGCTTCTTTTAACGGAAGTGGTGCTACAAAAATTCTTATACGTTGTTTTGTTGTAGTTTTTTGAAGCGTCATTTTGTTGCAAATCGGAAATTATTGGTTTGCGCCTTCATTGGATACATGGTCATTGCACTATTTGCATTGGACAGGAGCTTGGACTTGAAGACTGTTTAACAAAGTAAATTTGGCATTTGTGTTATTCTCATAACATTACGCAATATGAGAATTAAAAAATTTTAACTAGGAAAAAAATGGTTTGTTGTTTGAATTTATTCTTCTTTATAACTAATATGGAAAAGAAAATGAAGTAATTGTCCAAGAAAAAGACGCAATATATTGTGACATACAACACTTGATCTCCTAGTCTCCTATTCAATGTCGAAGTGACAAAAATTTCAACATATACATTTGGATACTAGTAGTGACTAGTCATTACTCATCAAGTCTATATTGCACATACACTTTACTAGACGTGACTGTAAGTGGTTACGTTATGAAACTAGCTCCTCTATTTTCATCCCTTTTTTACTTCTGATACTAATGTCCAAAGTAATGCAATATTACCGTATTTAACTGTGTTTTTCTTTATATATGTCCCTTACCTCACAAAGTTATGTTATCATCCCTAAATTGGTAGTGAATAAAAAAAGAAAATTTGTAATGAAAAACATAATTTAGGATACACTTTTTTTTTTTGTTTGAGACAAGGATGAACTTGCCATACCATATTTACCATGGTTATGAACATTGATTATTCTTATAGATTTATGTAGAAATACATATTGACGTTGTCGTGTGGATGGTTAAAATCTTGAGGGGTGGTACTCAAGACTTGAGATCAAATTCCGTCTATATTAATTGTCATTGTCCTTTTTACATCAAAAATAATAATACCACCCTCAATGATCCATTTGCCAAATAAGTTATTCCTATTTTGCTAGTAATACGTTTTCTAAATATTTTTTTTCAACATAGGACAATGATGTAGACAAGATTTAATCTCATGCCTTGAGTATCACGCTTTAAAACATTAGTCAATTAAATTATTTGACATTAACTTCTCTATAAGCTTTTCAATATATATGCTTTGAATTTATTTTTATGCAATTTATGGGACAAAAGAAGTTTATACATAGAGGGTGTTTGGCAAGTGGGAATTGAGGGTGGGATTGGGAATTTTAATCCCAATTGAAAAAATAAGCGTTGTTTGTTTGGTGGGAATGGGAATAAAAAGGGGTTTGGGAATGGGATTATTTATTGGTGAATTTCCACCATTTTATTACCTAGGGAGGGTAGGTAATAAATGGATGAGAATGGGAATAGGGGAAAAATGACATTTTTGCCATTAATGAAAAGAATGAAATAATAATCTTAATAGGGGTATTTTTGTAAAATTGTTATTTATGCCCTATATATTCCCACCCACTATCCAAACAAGGTATTGACATATTTTCATGTATTCCCATCAATTAATCTCAATCCCATTACCACCTTTTAATCCCCAAACTCTCATTTCCACAATCCAAACGCCCCGATAAAGTAAAATGATTAAAATTATAACATGTCAAACTTGTTTTCGCCACCAAATTAGAGGTGAGACACAACATATAATAAATAAACAAAACATGCATATATATTTTTTTTGAAACCAACAAAACATGCATATAATCTCAACTCGATTTTAAACATTGAAAAATATTAACATAGGTCTCTTCACATCCGAGAACATAAAGGAAAACTAGTCGTGTACGTAGTTTAATTTGTTACATCTTACATGGGTTTGGAATTGGTTTAGCGTAATAGAGTTGGTGCAGATTTTTCTAAAGATGCACACACAAACAAAACAAGGTCACGAAGTCACGATTACAAGTTCTTGCAACTTGTGAATCAACTATATATCGAAATAAGGGGATAAGATGAGGGATTAGAGGACTACAATTCCACACGCCATTGTCTTGTGGAGTTTTTTTTTAAATCATAATTTTGAAGAGAGTAATCCAACACTAGAAACCCAAAAATAAAAATCAAGGCTATCGAATGATAATGAGCTCAATGCAATACCTTATCACTTTTGCTGTTTTGCACATAAATCCATTTATTTGCAGTTTTTAGTAAGTCGGAGAAAACCATACTAAATATCAACCGTCACTCTTGTTAAGAAATGATACACTATCTCCATTTAGTAAATACAATTACATGCTAAAGAAAAAACAAAAACCCTAAAATTTTCTGTCTTCTCTCTCTTCAAACCTAGCCACTATAGAAAATCGATCTTAGGGGCTGCCATCGATTTTTATCGATAGTAAGCCCTAAATTTTTCTTTGATTTAATATTTTTAACAAATAAAGATTATCAAGGGATTATAATCTGTCCCTCTATGTAGGGTTTAGTTTGTCTATGTAGAGTTTAGTATTGTTTGTTTGTTTATTTTTAGTTTTCGAGTCTCAATCAACCATAAATGCAGGATATAGCTTAGCAAGTTAGTGGAAAGCAATCAAATCCCCCCTCCCTTTAGTTTTATTAAACCATTAGTGGGGGTTTATTTAAGAGAACAATTCATTGAACACAAACATTGAAGTTATGATATAAACTTTTAAAGATTAAAGGAAAAGAGAGAAAACCAAACCTTTATGAAGTGCACATGTTTAAGTTGTTTTAATGATAAATTTGATATTTATTTTTCACAAAAATTTTGGTCCCTTCCCTTGCTTAAGCTGTATGTCTTAAGACTGTTGCAAGTCTTGACAAATTGACACTTAAGTAACTAACTAAGAAACACCCACATATGTTGCAAGTAGAAGATTAAATTTTACTTATCTAATGGTTTCAATAGGTACATAGAAATTCATAGGTAACGTTTAAGCTTTTCATGGTCAACCAAACAAAACTATATATGCCTTTTATAAGAAATGCTACTACATGTGAAATAGGACTTTCTGTGATTTTTAACTTTCCTTTATTCAACCAATAAAGCATTTAGAAAGAGAAAGAGTAAAATAAGCCCTAAAATTATGTAAATATTCTTAGAAATAGAACATATTCTCTCTAAAGCACAATCATCGTTTTGTTAAGTGCTTGGTACAAAGAAAGGAAAAAAGAACAAAATTATGATAATTAAAAACTTATTATGAATTAGGAGTAGACTCGATTTTAAAATACGTAGTAAAATATTCACTAGTTAAGCTCAACTCAACAGTTACCAAACAAACCAAGTTTAACCACACATGAGCTTGACCTAAATTTGAGTCTTGAGCTTGTTATCACACGAGCGGAATGGACATAGTATGATAATAAATGTTCAACTTGGATTTATACATTTCTTTCGAATTAATGAGACATGACTTGACTCATTTGCATATCTTTTTAATTTCTTTTTTTAAAAAGGTAAGAAAAATAAACATTAGAACACTTTCCTCATGAAGGGAATACCTAGTTAATTTAAGAGGAAGGAATTACAAACATCGATATCCATCATCTCATGGACTAAATGCCCTATATTAGCAATCCAATCTGCATTTGCATATATTTTTAATGGCCAGTTAATATCCTATATTAACAAAACATGTTTATATCACCAAATTTGCGCTCCTCTCCTCACATGGACATTATTTCCTTCTATTTCCTCCATTCCCAGTCTCCCATGGCCACTATTTCCTTCTCTCTCCTCCCCTGCCATGGCTATGCCCACGATCGACCACCTTTGCGGCTCTAACCGGCCAATCGAACAAAAGACACCATAGCAGCAAATTATGTAAAGTGGACCCATACTAACTCCTTAAGGAAAAGGATTCGCTCGTGTTGGTGGTGCTCACGATGGTACGACAGTCGAATAATGGTTGAGCTAATGGTCATGCGGTGGTCGGCTGGAGAAGCTAATGGTCTTGCGGTAGGGCGACAGGTGGTACTATTGGTTGTGCAGCGATAATAGAGGGGAAAGAAAGGGTGTGTGACTGCTAAATTTACAAAATTGCCCTTAGTGTGGTTGCTAAATTTACAAAATTACCCTTGATATAAACAAATTTTGTTACTATAAGATACCAACTTCTATTTTCTCATTTTAAATTGTTAAGTTACACGATGACACTAGAATTTTTTTTTTTGGTGCTTAGGGAGCCACAATGACAGGGGTGAGAATCAATCCCATGATCTCTTGAAACCGGGAGGGAATCTCTCACCACTTGAGCTATTCCTTACTCTCACACTAGAATTAATATGAGACGGAGAGAGTATTTTCGATATGTCCTTTGGTGTCTAGTTTACAATCTTTATACACAAATGAAGGCCCAAAACCTCTCATATAAGTGCTGCTAGCTTAATCCCGTATTCACCTTACCTTATCTTTCTGTTAGTTTTACACCATTTTATCTGCCATCTTTCTCTCTCCTCTCTTCTCACTTTCTCTCTCTTAATTCAATCCACCCAAAACCCCTAAATTATCAATAAACCCTAAACCCCCAAATTATTTTTACGTTCCTTCAATCCTCGTATTGAAGGAACCAACAAATTCAAGCTTGCATCAATGGAGTCGGAGCCTCAAGTGGATACGACGTCGCTTCTTTCTCGACAACCTTCAGGTATTCGTGCTATCCCTTCTCATGATGATGATGATGATGATGAATTTGATGTTGAAAACGACAATTCTCCTGGAAAAATGAATAAAATTGATGAAACTAATAAGAATTCGATTACTAGTAGTAGTAATGGAAGCAGTGATAGTAGTAGTTTTGCCAGTAGTGGTGGTAATAATGGAAGTTATGTGAATGGTGAGGAGGAGTTTGAGACTCCTATTGATGGCCCAGATAATCAAACCCTAGAGAAATTGATTGAGGTTGATGAAACTGAAGCCCCTGCATCTGGGTCAGCATTAGGTTCGCCTGGTGTTAGGGCGCCGAAGGCGGGTTTGCCGGTTGCGAAGGTTTCGGATGATGGGGATGATGATGACGATGGTGAAATTGAGGTTGATAGTGAAGAGGAGGATATTAGTGTAGTTGGGGATGGAATGGGTAGGTCTTATGGTGCTGAAAAGGCGCCTAGAGTTAGGGTTTTGGGTGAGGAAGAGGAGGAGGAGGAGGACGAGTCGTTCGAGGAGGCGAAAGAAGAATTGGGTGATGA